TTTAGTGAACACGTTTACTAAAGGAGAAGATAAGGGTCTCAGAACAGTAGAAGGGAGCAAACCTTAAGGTGGTTGTGCTCTACCTGCTGACAAGTGGGGTTTCAGCTGTCCATTAACAAGTTAAAGGAAAGAAACTGAACCTCGGATTTGGAAAGAGGCAGGCTTCCACTCGCCTCTAGAAGCCTCTTCCTCTTTGTTTTTAAATGCTACTGCAGTGTTGTTCCTCGCTGTCTGAAAGGACCACAGCGTCGAAAACCCTGATTGTCATCCTCAGTAGGAGAACAGGTTTCCAATTTCATCAGCTGGAACAAAGTTGTGTGTGTGTGTGCTCGGTTTAAAACACTAGAGAAAACACGACCTTTCCAGGGCAGCGCTCTTTCTGGATAGAAAAATCGCTCACGATTTTGGCTGTTTTCTTCCCGGGCTGGGTCACTCGTTTCTTATCTCTAACGCATCCTCTTTAGGGAATCTGTCAGGGGAGTTATTGCAGGCGGGGGGAGGAGTCACTATGACCTTGAAGGGGCTCAGAAATCTCCACCTAGTTAAGGGCGCCAAGCAGCCAAGTGCATCCAGGCCATGAGGCTGAGCCTTCGGATGCCCTCGGTGCGGGTCGCTCCTCGAGGACGAGGTGGTTACAGACACTGGTTCTGCAGGCTTCAGATGGTGGAGGTGATAGTCTGGGGGAGTTTTTAGAGTCTCTACTCCTGGAGAAGTTCGGGAAAAGGGCAGAGAGCGTGGAAAGAACACGTGGGACACCAGCGACTTTCCTCACCTTAACCCTGACCCACAGTCCCAATCCACGCTACCCTCCAAAGCTGGGCCAAATGTGCGACAGCCAGGCCGGCAGAAGTTTTCCCGCCGGCGCCCCGGGTCGTGCGTGGGGAAGAGGCCCATGCTCGCCCCAGAACCGCGGGCGACGGAGGAAGGGCCCGACGCAGCCCAGCCAAGGAACCGACGTTCCCGACCGCCTTGCGGGAGGCCGCTTTCCTGGGCCCACGCAGCTCCAGCGGCAAGCTCGGGAAGGGGCGCCCTCTCTGGCTGGTACCCCTCCGCCAAATGCGGCTGCAGAGCCTGGCTCCTGGCGCCAAGGCCGAGGCCCCCGGAAGCGAAGAAGGAGATGGGCCGTGCCTGAAGCAGAAGAGGCAGCAAGGACCGGGCGGCAGGGCCTAGGCCGCCTCCCAACCAGGCCCCGAGGCCTGAGCCGGCTGCCCGGGGCCCTGAGCCCGCTGCCCCGGGCGCTGAGCGCGGCGCCTGAGAACCCGGGCGCGCTCACACCTGCGGCCAGGGCGACTCTCGCCCGCCCCCCGGGTCCTGCTCCAACCCCGAGGCCTGCGGCCGGCGCCGCTCACGTGCCTCGCGGGGAACGTAGCTCCCTGCCTCGAAGAAGGCCACCCAGGCTTGGGCCTGGAACGTGGCGCCGGGGTGCTCAAGACGACAGCAGCTGCAACGCCCGCGAATCGCAGGCCGCGGCCTCCTCCTCTGCGCTGGCCCTTCGAGGCAGCCTGGCAGGCGCTGCTCTCGGGCTCCTCGGGCCTGGCCGCCAGGCCTAGCACCCGGAGCTGCGTTTGGTTCGGGTCCCGAGATGCGTGCGATTCTCCGTGAGCCGGTGAAGAGGAGGCCCGAGAGCAGCGGCGCCACGTCCTCCCCGCGCCTCCGCAGGGCAGAGTGGCCAGAACGAAGTCTGTGAATGGCAGGAGAAGCGCCCCCGGGTCTCTGCAGCCGGAGAAGAGCGGAACGGAAGCTTCTGGATCCCCAAGCTGGAGTCTTGCCCTTCAGGCTTTGCCAAAGACCTCTAGACGGGGGGGAGGCGGGAGGAGTAAAGCCCCCTCCAGCAGAAGCCGCCCGCGCAGCAGCTGCAGCGGGCGGAGAAAGAGCCGCTCCGCGCGGGTTCAGTGCCAGATGCCCGGCCGGCTCTCTGGGTGCAAGGGAGGGCGGCGAGGGAAGGCTCGTGTTCGGCAAACCCAGAACTTGCCATAAGCGCCAACGCCAACGCCACCGCCTCTGCCTGAGAGCTTCCACTCAAGCTCGAGGTGAAAACCAAACTGTCCTTGCTCCAGAATAGGTTCAAGACTGGCGGTGCCCAGCCCCGGCGACGCCTTCAGCCCTGCTCGCAGCTCAGGGGGCTCTTGGGGCCCACGAGTCTCCACCTGCTAAGCGAAAAACGGTAGAACCGCCGGCCAAGCCCTTTGGCCCCCGAGCATTTAGGAAGCTTCATTCTCAGCCAAGAGGTCAAGGCGAGCAGACAGTGGAGACCCGAGCAATGGTGTGCTTAGATTTAAAACGTCAGAGAATAAATAAAAATCACCCAAGTATTTGTTTTGCTTTTCACTTCGCAAAATGCAATAAGGTTTCATCCTCAAAAAAAAAAATTTATTTATAATAAGCCATTGTTCATTACTTTTGAATATCCTTATGAAATCTGCAGAGGAGAAATGAAAAGTAGCTTTTGAGTCAGTTAAACTGCGACTCCCAGAAGGTAAATTGGAGGTCTCTTAACAGCTGGTCCTCGAAGAGTTCCTCAAGGAAAAAAAAATACGGTTAGTTCCCCCTAATGATTGCTCTAAAATGATTGCCAAGAGAACTCAAAGCAGTATCCAGCTTTCTCACTTCCTCCTCGTCTCTCATTTAGCTAGACTGAGCCGAGGATGGCAGAGGGAGACATATCGTGCAGTTTCTTACGAAACACATCTGTAATATGCACGCTCTGGACAGAGTGCCAGTGATTTTACAAAGAGTTTATGGCTGTGACAGAAAATTGTCCTTGTAACGAGTTTACAAGCAATAATCACGGGGGCTTTTACGGGACCGGCCCGCTCTGCTCCTCGCCAGACCTGCAGACGTTTCCAAGATTCACCAACCGAGGGAGCAGGAAGTGGGCCGGAGCGCCCTGGGAAACAGAACTTCGACGAGTCTAAAATTATACCCAGGGAGCTGGAAAAGTGGCGGGTAGTCACTGGGGTAGGAAGAGAGGGCATGTAAGAAATTAAAGTAATTGGCCCTTCCTTATTTTCCAGGGAGATTTCCGCGGTGTCCTTTGAAGCCTGTCAGGGTCATTGAAAGCTATCTTTGTGCAGGGTGTTTGTTTTGGGGAGTGAATGTGAAGAATGTGTGGAGATCCCCTGTGAGAGCCCCTCCTGCAGAGGGTGGCATTTCTCCGTGGCCCAAGACGTGGAGAATAAACACCCTAGTGACTTAAATAAACACCGACTTAATGATCCAAAACACTAACAAGGGAGATTGGGACCCTAGGCTCCCAACCCAAATGACGGTCTCTGAGCGGCTGTGTGCACATCTGTCCATCACTTAGGGGAAAAATGACTTTATAAGTAAAAGTGACTACAGTTAAGTACAGTGACCGATGCTTTTTCTCCTTTGAATTCAAAGCTATTTGACAGATTTAAAAAAAAAAAAAAAATGCTTGTAATAAGAAGGCCTTAATTCCCCACAAACGCCTCAGTCTACTAGCCCAGGACAGAAAAGATGGGGAAGAGTAAGAAAGAAAGAAATGTATTAATGGTGACACGGATGAGGAAAAATCAAAATTACAAAACTGTCATGTCAGAAAATAAATAGACTCTCCCTGGGGAACAATATTTTTACAAAGCACAAGCAAGCCAATCCTGTTATCCTGAGTAGAATTTTAATAAATAATGCCATTTCTTTTACTAGTTTTAAAAGCTGAATACAGACGATACATCATTTTTGCCCCTGGCAAAAATAATACGGAGCCTACATAATTACTGGAATTTTTCTGGACGCTTATCCAGCAGCAGTGCAAAAGAGCTCCTGTCCTGCTGGTCTGCTTTTTATTATTTGTACAGATTAATTCACAATGTTGCTATCCTTGTTCCGAGGTTTTGTTTTGTTTTTTTTCCAAGCTGATAAATTCTTTTACTTTCACAGTCTTGTCATAAACTCGTTAACACAAAAGAGCTGAGTTAACATGTGAATGCTGTGGAGAAGAGCTAGTGGTAAACAATACTGCATATCTAAATAATAAAAAAATAAATAAATACTCCAAAGCTAAATTCACTCTTTCTCTGTCATATATTAACCAAGTCACTATTCTTGGTTCAGGTGATGGCCTTCATGGTACCCTGCAATTCATAACCACCATTAAGTAAGAAAGAGAGAAATTATTACTTAAAAAAAAAAAAAAAAGGGCCCAGTGACAGCAATACACAGCTCACCTTTCAGAAACAGAATCGTACTCCTGGTGTTCTACTAAGTTTTAATTTAGACTGGTTTAGGTACAATAAAAAAGAAACCTGAAAACACATGCTGTTTTGGTAACAAATACCAGTTTGCCATATTTGTTGGCATACTTTTGCAAGCTAGAAACTAGGAACAGGAGAAACCCTTAACAGGAGTAGGTAACCTACAGGTATGAAAGATTCCAGAGCATGAGAAGTAATGGCATTCAGGAAAGTGTTTTTTCACATTGATGCATTTTAAAAGTCCACCATTTAAAAAAAAAAAAAAAAAAAAACCCAAGAAAACAAACAACAACCAAAAAGAATCTACTAAATTTGACAAAAATAGTTATGTTACTAATGGTCGCTTCTATTTCTAACTGCCTCACACAGAGAGCAGTAAGACATTTAGGCACTTGGTTTTTGTTTTTTTCCCTAATACTGTACTTTCATTTCAATCTACATAAAATTGTTTAACAGTAAGTATGAAAAATGTAAACTTAAATTTTCCCCATCAAAAAGAGTTAGAAGATGATAGTTTTCCTATTCCCCTTAAGAAAGCAACCAGTTCCTCCCAGGCTGGAGGCTCTTATTTTCACTGTTTTGATTTCTCTCTCTCTCTCTTTGAAATTTCCTTTTCCTCTTCCCAAAACATTTCTCCACAAATAAATTAAATAGAATTGAAATTCAATTGATTTGTAATTCCCATTCATTTAAAAAAAGAAAAGTTACTGAAGCAGGCACAGTGGTTGCCCAGAACGAGCACTGGGTGACTGGGTGCTTTTGTTTGTTTGGGTTTTTTTTCCCCCCTGCTCTTCTCTGGACTGGGGGAGGACATGCAAAAGTGGAAAAGAGTCAGAGAGAAGAGGGTGAGGGTGACTAAGCTTGAGATTGCTGTTGGTTGTGATTTTTAAAAAGGCGTTTGTGAAAGTCCACCATTCCTTTATGCGCAAAGAACCCCAGAAACAAGCTGCAAAAATGTTCCTGATTTCTATTTACAAGTGTCCCTAGTTGCTGCAGTTGGTTGCTGCTCCAACCATCCCTTGGAGGCCCCCGTCCCTCCCCACTTAGGATCCCAAGTCCACCAGACTGGAGGTGAGTGGGCCAAGCAGGGAGTCCTGGAGCTGGTGCTGGTGGGCCTGCAGGCCATGACCGGGCTGTGAGGCTGTTAAGCCGGGGAGAGAATAGTTTGAGCTCCTAGCGTGGCCCATATTGCCCTGCAGCAGAAGGACTGAGTTCTGGTCTGGACTTTGGGGAGGCGAGAATTCCTCTTCTGAGCTGGACATGAGCGGCTTGCCCCCTTCCAGAGGAGAGAGTTGATTCTGCTTGTTGGAGGAGGAGTTGTTGTTTTCAGTGTTCTCCCTAAGAAATAGAGGATAACACCATATGGTTAAAAAAAAAAAAAAAAAAGGTAGGTTAAAAAAAGTGTGAGATGGAGGGAGGGAGGGAAGCTGGAAGGAGGAAAGGGCTCTTGTGCAATCTGTCACTGACCCAAATGGAGAAGCTCTGCCCTCCCACCCATCCCCAAGGGTCATGGGGGAGGTGAGGAGACTGGAGAAGTGGCCAGCTATGGAGAGTGCCTGCCCTTCCAGGTTTCAGAAATCCAGCTGAACAGGGCTTATATGAAACAAACAAAAACTATTTTTTAATTTCGTTCAGTTATTTAAAATACCTATCGAGTAGGACCATGTTTAGAAATAATTAAGCTTAAAAATCTTCCAACAAATGGTTGTTGGTGATGAAGAAAATGATCAGGGAGCAAACATAGCGCCCAGTGCACAACCGTGTGGGGTGAGTCAAGTCAATTGCCCTGTTCCCATCTGAGGAAACAATTAAACGTCGAGTTTCCCTGCCCCTGCCGGGAGGTTGTGGTTTCCGAGACCCAGGACAGGTCATGGGAAGTGGTGCCCAGAGCGGCCCAGTGACCTGAGTAAACACAGGGAGCAAAGCCAGTCTCTCCGATTTCATCAGGGACTGGGCCCTCGGGCCTGGCTTATAGGGCAGCCGTTTTGTAACTAAAGTCTAACTGGAACTGCACAGTCCCTGTTCCCGTGTTACTCGCTCAATTCCAGCCCCTTACGGCCTTCTCTCAAACTCTCCACCGACATCCACACCTGCGCACCGCTTTCTCGGCAGGGGAAACTTCGAGGCCCCGAACAGCCTCCGAGCGGGCGGAGGGGCGCCGGGGCTTCTGCCCCCACACTCGGTTTTGGTTAACTTCAGGATTTCTCTGCCCTCGCTGCTTCCGCCTTCACAGTGCTCGTCTGTCCCCCACCCCCAGCGCCTGCATGTCTCCCCTTTCTCTCTCCCTTTTCCCTACAGTCTCTCTCTCCCAGTGAGCCAATTCCAGCTGAATTTATCCAGACTCTGTGCTATTCCACCCAGAGGGGAACGAGAAGGCGCGATCCTCGGCCTCAAGCTTCAGAAACGAACAAAGGAAACCCAGCCGTCTCAGGCGCTCGGATTTCTCCAAAACTGCGGTTCCCCCAGCGCTCTCCCGCCGCTGCCTCCAAGCTCTTCCAAATCTCGGTCGGAAACTCTACTGCAAACCATGGAGCTGGGCCAGGTGGTCGAGGGTGTTGGCACCGGAGGGGAGGAGGTAAAGACAGGTTTAAAAAATACTGCCTTTTGAGCTCCAGGGAGAAAGGAGTCTGCGAGCGGAGATCCCTTCCTCTCCAGGGGCCGCGGCGTGGACAGCCAGACCAACTGAACCCCGAACGGGCCGCGGCGCCCTGGCACGCGCAAGGCAGCCCGGCGAGGAGCCATCCTTCCTGGGCTTGGGGAGCCGGGGAGCAAATGCAGAGCCAGCTCCTCCCGAAAGCTCTTTTCTGTGAATTTCTTTTTAAATCCTTTGTACAGCTAGTGCGGACAGAAGCAGGTAACCTCCTGCCCAAAACGACTAGGATCGTCTTCGGTAGGCGATCTCAGGGGCGGGGGCTGGGGACAGAGCAGACGTCTCTGGCCAGCTCCACCCCTCTGGGGAGCAAGAGGAGAGAGGTGAGCGACCCTTAGCCCCCACCGAACCCCTTTCTTCCGGATACTAATCAACACTTCCCTTCTCATTGATCTAGAAACTCTCCAAGCTCCCTCTCGCCCCAGCCAGCCAAGGCGACAGGAAAAACAAATCTAGCGCCAGTATTTCCCGACACTCACACACCAAGAAACCCACGCGCGGGAGCTCAAAGCAAACGAGTCCCCATCTTTGGTAGGCGGTCTCAGAGTTCCTGAACTTTTCCTGCAGTGCCGCGGAGGCCTGGGCGCGGGCCCGCGGACCGGCTTCGGCCCGTGAGGAAGGCGCCCTGGCGGGTGCCTGCCAAAGCAGAAAGGGGTAGAGGGGACAGGAAGGCTTCCTGGGGTGGCCTGAGCCGTAGGAAGCACGCCGCGTACCTTTCCTTGGCCTCGGCGGCCCGGTCTCTTTGCCTCCGGTTCTTAAACCAGTTGCTGACCTGGGTGGTGGTGAGGCCGGTGGCCTCGGCCAGCTCCCGCTTCTCACGCGGCGAGGGGTAGGGGTTGTGCGCGTACCACTCCCGCAGCACGCCCCGCGACTTCTCCTTGAAGCAGTAGCTCGTCTCCTCGCCGTCCCAGATGGTGCGCGGCAGTGGGAATTTTCGGCGCACCCGATACTTGCCCACCGCGCCCAGGGGCCGGCCGCGTAGCTTCTCGGCCTCCACGTAGTGAGCCTTCAGCCACAGCTGCTGCAGTTTGGGATGATTGTGAGGCGAAAACTGGTGGCTCTCCAGGATCTTGTAGAGCTCGCGGAAGTTTCCGCGGTGGAAGGCGACCACGGCCTTGGCCTTAAGCACGCTTTCGTTCTTGTGCAGGTGGTCGCAGGCGGGCAGCGACCACAGGAACCTGCCCAGGCGTTCTAGGTTCCCGCCTTGCTGCAGCACCTCGCACACGCACGCCACTTGCTCCTGAGTAAAGCCGAAAGAAGGCAGCATCGACATGGCTGGGGTCTGCCGGGGCGCACGCTGCGGGCAGCAGAGCCTGACAAGCAGGGGGCAGCGGCGGCGGGGAGGGGGGCGGCAGCCCTAGCCCCCTCCCTATGCTTGGCGGCGGCGAAGAAACGAGCCGGGTCTGCAGTTGCGGGTGGGCGGGCGAGAAGGAGGAGTGGTGGGCGCGCTGCGCACCGAGCAGCCGGCGCAATTTTCAGCCTTTCGGGCCTCGCTGGCTCCGGCCTCTTGCCGGGTGGATGCTGCTGGTTGCCGGGGAACTTGGTTTCTGTTCTCCCCGCAGCCGCCTTAAAGCGCGCAGTGTCCGGGGCAAGCTGATTGGCTGCGGGCGGCGCCTATCCGGGGCCGGCCAGCCCGCGCGTCGCCTGGCTGGGCAGAGAGGCCGCACCGCCCTGCGCGGGGTGGGCGAGGCTGCGGAGCCGGGGGGGTGGGGAGTGGGTGATGGGAGAAGGACCCAGAGAGGTGAGGGGAAAAGAGAGAGCTGCCGGGGATGGGGGTGGGTGAGCGCGTCGGGACCCTGCAACTCGAGCCTCCTCTCCAGTGTCATCTAAGGGGAGCCACTCACATCCCTGCACAAATCAATGACTCCAGACTTTCTAATTCCCCTCCTTTCTGTACCCCTGTCCCTTGCAGACTTGCCCTTTCCCGGTGAGCTCATATTTAATTACCTTAATGTTGGAATGAATAAATAATGGATTGATGAATAGCTTATGGAATGCGATAAATAATACAAGAGCAGGCCAGGGCTCCGGGCTGCAATCGCCAAAAGAGCGGCTTCTCTCCGGGCTCGCTTCAGCTGCGGGAGCCAAAACTAATTTCCTCCTCCCCCGCCGCCTCGGCCCCACCGCCCTCCAAAGAGCACAGGTATTCCCAGCTGGACAGGGCTTCCCTGGTTCTCAAAGAGCCGCGACAATTTGGGACCAAAAGAGCCGTTTAGAGCATAGTTGCTGAGCAGATAGACTTCGAAGATTGATTTGTGATTTGGTATCTTAATGTTCTGCGGTTTAAGCCGGTAGGTTTCTAGACTCAGTTTCCCAATCTGCGCAGTTAACATTTTCCAATGCCACCTTTCCTACTGAGGAATACCGAGAAGCTCTACTTGCTATTAGCTAAAATGCTTTGGGAACCTCGTAGGAAAGGCGCCGGGTGGGGTGTAAATTAAATAAAACTGTGCCCGGCTCCAATAACCGTCCTGTTGTAACATAATCCTTGCCCTACTCTGAGAGGGACACTGCCCTCAAACCGAGGACGACAGTGGCTCCAAGAAGATTAAATAAAGAGGGGTGTGTGTGTGTGTGTGTGTGTGTGTGCGCATAGATTGCAATGCTGGCCTATTTTACTGTCAGGGAATGAGAGATGTTCTGCAATTTAAGTCTGATCATCTGCTATTTTGTGTATGTGTGGGGAATGCTTAGTAAGACTGCACAGACAAATGAAGCTGTAATTATCTTAAGCCTCATTTGCACACCTTGTTCCTAAGCAATTATTAAAAAGATTTTGAAAACAATTAGCCTCTCTAAACAAAGATAATCTATTGTCAGTAGCGGAGACTGGCAGGAGATAAGAACAATGCCGGGAGATAAGGGGAGCCGAATGGTGGAAGGAGAGTGACTTTATGACTATACTTATCTCTGATTAGATAAGTTCAAAACAGAATTGTAAGTACACTTCAAACATGCTTTTGATTTAAATGTTCCTCTTAGCGAATGCAAAGAACAAACTCGAGGCTCTTTAAACTCTCTTGTCTTTTTAAAATTTGTGTTGATTCCATCAGCCAAAGATCCTGGCACAACAGACCATTTGCATACTGAGATGTAAGTGGGAGAAAGGGAAGCACTTGTGTGGGTTTCCCCTTGTATTATGTATACGGTTTCAAAATAATGCACACAGTCCAGTGCACCCTGCAACCTGCATTTTAAACTCATGGAGAGTTCCCACCTCTGGGCTGCCTCTGGGGAGATTGCAAGTAGATCCAAAGCTGTTTATCGGCTAACCTCCCTCACAATGCTTTTTGCATCCTAGAAACTCTGTGTATCCCTTGCAATTAGACCTTGGAAGCAGATGCTGATATTTCAATAAGTTTAGGCTTTTTTTTAAAAAAAAAAATGCATCTATTGGGTGCATGTTATTTTAAAAGTGCCCCTGCTACGTGGTGTGCCTAATGACTTACTTTCTAAACTGGAAGCCTGGCATGGCTATGCCCAAGCCCATGTGTCTGGTAATTTTCCCTAGCTGACTTATTTTTGTGCTCATGATGTTTCAGATGAAGTCTTAAGAAGCTGCAGTGTCCTGCCAGAAGGAATGTCTCTGCTTGGAACAGATCCTTATTGACAAGGCAGCTGTGTGAGGACCAGAACGGAGGCTTAAACTCGGCTCCAAAAATCAGTTAATACCCTAAAGTCTGGAGCAAGTGCGCAGAATTACAGTGCGGTGAGATGGGAGCAAGGACTGTAACTACAACCACGTCTCTTAAAAGACAAACGATACACGGAGTACGGAGTGGGCTTTGTAATTAACAATTTCGTATAAGGAAATGAGGCATAACTTGGACAAATAAGGGCAGGTATAAATTTTCAGGGGATGACGGACAGCAGAGAGATGGCAATTAGACACCGATATGAACACCTTTTCTCGCTGGCTTCCTCCAGCGTCTGTCCCACTTCTTTTCATCTCTCTTCAAAGAACTAGAACATACTAGACGTTGGCAACAACTGGGAAGACTACTGTGAAGATTGCGGGCACCGGGGTTGATAAGTGGTGCTCTGCCCTTGGAGGCCCTGCCGGGGCCTGCCAGCATTTCTCCTCTGGTTTAATCCAAAAGATCGGGTAAGGAGAAACGAAAAGTGCTGTGCGCTTTGTACCAAGGAGCCTACCTGCTATTTCGATCCCTGGGTTAGAGGAACCAATTGTTATAAATGTTAATTATTGGCTCAGATATATAAGGTTTCCCAAAATGGAACCTTTCACTGGAAACCACTAAAAGAGGTAAAATGACATGAATTTACAAACCACATAAACCAAATGATCCATTTTAAATCGCGCACAGAAAGGTTGGAGTTGTTCTGGTAACCCAAAACCTTTGCTGTCAACGCAAATCACACGAAAAACAGAGATGCGTCGGAGATTTAAAGCGAACGAGCAACTCTTGTCGGCCTGCTGCTACCCTCGGCGCATCCCGGCTCTCGGGGGTACCGCGGCTGGTGAGCAGCCCCCGACGCCGACTTTCTGCTCCTCTGTGCAGGGAGCCGCCCAGGTGCGCACAACTGGTCGATGGAAAAGTCAACCAGGAGGCACGTTTGGCAGAAGCGCGAGGAGTTGCTAACGCTTCTTCGCTGGGTTGACATAAGGCCTTGGTTCAAAACCTCTAGCTGGGACCCATTTGATTCCCTCCCAGCTTGGAGCAAGATACTTTGCAGCGAGAGCCTGCTTTCTTGGAATTCCTTTGCCATCAAGAAAGACTGAGGGGATCCTACTCCGCCTGCAGATTGTTTGGAAAGGAAGGGCATCGGGAGGAGTTTCTTCAACAAATTAGTGTCGTTGCTCTGGGTGGAGTGCTAGGACTCCCCAAATCCGGGCCGAAGAGAAGGCATTCATCTCTTTCCTCTGCTTAGTTGGAAACTTTGGGTGCCTATGACCCTTGGGATCCCAGGTTTCGACCGCCCGCGCAAAGGTGGAGCAGCCGCCCACCTGTCTCTTGGGGGTTACCGTTTTCCCTGCGAGGTCTGAATAGGCCGAGGGCTCAGGCAGGGCGATTTGCGGGCTCGGAGAAGAGAAACCCAAAACCAGTCCATTAGTAAATGAGTTTTGTGTTGTGAAGGTTCTTTCCCATCCACTTGCTGTTCTGAAAAATAGATCACGTTTCGTTATCTTTAGTGAGAATCTGCAACGTGACACCGGATCCGCGCGGCCCCTGCCTCCCTCTCTCCCTCCTTCCCTGCCTCTCTCTGCCCGGCAAAGGGGAGCTGGACGGCCTCCTCGGCTTATTTCTGAACAATGAGGATTTGTCTGTTCCGCTAATATATTTATGTATGGAGGGAGGGAGTTTTCTCCTGGAAGCGGGAAGCGCGCAAGCCGAGCCTCCAGCTTCCTTGGTGCGAAAACTAGGCGCTGGCTCAGGCCACCGGGGCACCGCCAATCCCGCCCTCCGCCCGCACCTGGACAAACAGAGGACAGCGCGCAGGGACCGCCGTTAAAATCCCTGAGGCCCCACGTACCTCCCGAAAATACCTTTCAGAGGGCAGGGCAGGGGGACTGAGAGAGTCCGAGAAACAGAGACAGATTGAACTGAGAGACTTCGCTGAGAGGGAGTTCTGATTGGGAGTAAAACTGGGGTGTGTGTGCTTGAAGGGGTCATCTTCGCTTTCCCTCTCAGTGTATCCCCACGTCTGGTCTCCCTCTCTCTGACTGTCTCTCTGTGTCTATCTTTCTCATTTTCTCTCTAAATTTGAAAGAGGGACCGCTTTCATTCTGTGTGTGTGACTCTCTCTCTGTCCTCATCTCTCTCCATCTTTCTCTGTCTCCCCCGCCCCTCACTTCCCCTCCGCTCCCCACAGCTCTTGGAGCCTGTATCTTTTTGCCTCCGTCCAGGCGCTGTGACGTTTCGCTGACAGAGGGTGCTGATGTCGCGCACCGAGGCCGCGAGGAGTTAGTAGACTCCGAAGTTCGGGTGGGGGCGCCGGGCCCAGTCGGTGGGGAATCGCCAAGCTGAGTGGAGGCGCCGGCGAGAGGTGGGGGCGCCCGCGGGGGAGGGCTGGAGAAGGTGGGTAGGCCACCTGGGGAAGAAAGGCCGAGTTCAGCTGTGGTCTGAGAAGGCTCTTGCCCAGAAACTCGCCAACCGCCAGGTTTGAGTCCGAGACCACACTAAACATCAAATGCCAAGCACCTTTCTGCAAAGTGGAGGTGAGGTGATTACAAGAATCAGTTCTTAAGAATTTAAGACACTCTTGCCCCGCCCCCACTCCTTTTTTATATCTCATGCTAGCAAGTTTGCAAAAGGAAACTCTCCAAGAGTCCTTATCTTCCATTGGATTTTCAATTAACTTTTTTTCCCCCCTAAACTAATGTACATCCTGAATACCGCATCTGTCTAAGCTAAGAAGAATTTCCTTTCGGGAGGTGAAAGCCTGCAGCGCCTCCTGTTCAGAGGAAAGTGCTAGTGACGGTAATGCAGGGTGACACTAAATAAACAGTTAGGGTGGACTGGAAAGATGGAGTTAATTATCCAGTGAGCTGCGTTTCAACCCAGAC